GAAAAATATTCGATTCTTGAAATTTCATTCGTTTGAAAATTCTGTGAATGAAGAAAAAATTCTATTGTTCTTTTTTTTTTTTTTCGGTATTTCATCGGCAAGTTCCGTGACATTTTTTACTTCACGACGAAAACGTAAATTTTCATTATTGAAGCCTAAAAATATATCGGGATCTCGAGTATTAATTATTTTTAACGAGGGGAAAGGAGACAGAAAGATAATAGATTAAACTTTATAGCGGAGTACAATTACTCTACTTTTTTTTCACCCATTCTTATTCCACTCGAACGATATATCCACGTCAATTAATATTCCAACTACTTTCCCTTTGATATCAAATTACCGAAACCACCGTAATTTGCGACAATACGGATAATCATGACTCGTAAAGATATACTCGAGGAGTATATAATCCTCGCATCCTTCCTTCGTTTCGCCATATTTTCCTGCCGGAACTTCAGGTCAACTGATCGACTGGGGAAGCACAGCGTCGTATCAGCGGCACGAGGAATCCCACCACGGCTATTTTAAATATTAAACGTGCCATTTATGCCTACAGTCCACGAGTGTAGTGGCTTTTAACGAAATAAATAACGCACTCCTTTCCTTTTTTTCTTTTTTCCCCCACCCACACTCACGAGGAAGAGATTGAACACGTGCAAAACCGTTAGCCGTTATCTCCTCCCTTTTAACCGCCGGGAAAAAAGATAAAACGCGGAAGTTGCGCGTCTTCCGACGGAAGCGGCGATCTCTTTCGAAAGGAACGTTTATCTCCTCTTCCATGGCGAGGAGGGGCGAGGTTATTTGTGAACAAATACGGACAGGAGTCGCTGGTCGATGCGGGTTTATCGTGGAAACTTGCACTACCATCCCCACTGCAATAATTATTAAGCCGAGTGGATGTGTCGGCGGATAGGGGGAAAAGGTAGATTTACTTTCAAAGGCGATTAATCTTTTCGCCCTGCCAAGGAGACGCGTATGATTTAATTTCTGGATAGGATTGGAGCCGTGAGGTTCGTTGGAAACGCGACGGAAACTGAAATCGTGTAAAACAGATTCACCGATAAATCTCGACGCGGGTCGGGGAGCCTGTGTTCGTTCTGGTCTAATTTGTGGATCGTTCGGTAAAAGGAAGCTACGTCGTCTACAGGGGACGAGGAGGGGAGAGAAGAATTTATAGATAGCCTAATACCGAAAACTCGCGGTGAATAGTTCAGGAACGGACGGGGGTGATATATTTTGAAACTGGGCTGGCTCGCGCGTGTACCATTGCCCATAGTAGGACTGCGATGATAAGTTTTCGACCGGTGTAAATCCGCAGGATTGCTTTGGCAATGAAAAGAAGAGAATGGGTTAGCAGGAACAGACAAAAAAAATATATATATATATAATTTATAATTGTTAATAAGGAATAGGATTTCCCTCCGCAGGGAATTTTCTTTTTTAGAATTATTTCGAGAATAAATTTTGCACAACGAAAAATTTTCCGAATTTAATATTTCATTCGATCGAATCGAATAAAATGGACGAGAAAAATTTGGGTGAAAAATTATTAATCTCCGTTTTAGTCGTTTCAATCTGATGATACGAATCCGGTTTGGTTTCGTTCAATAGCGGCTGAAAAATTTATTCCAACGTTAATTCGTCACCCATGCGCGACATTAATTTTATAGAGTATCAATGGATCAATTAATCGTGGTTTTATCCTTTGTTTATAAATCATATCGTTTTTCCATTATAATTAGCGGGTAAATGCATTGCTGCATTTAGTAGAGAAATATTCGCAAATGAATTTTGCATTACGTTTCATTATACATTTCATTATGAAATATTTCATAAATTGACACACGTGTATATAAACGAGCAACAAATGGAACGATCGTAATTCTCGGTTGATATTAATAACGCGCATCCTTCTCTGTTAAGGTCAAAAGACTCTGCGGAAGTATCCCGTGATGGTGTTCATTCATGGAGAGAGCTTTGAATGGAACAGCGGCAACCCTTACGACGGCACTATATTGGCAGCTTATGGCAACGTCGTCTTTGTCACTATCAACTTTCGTCTGGGCATCCTTGGTGAGTAGATTCTTCCCATTTAAAAACTCAAATAGTTTCATTTTGCAAGATTTGAAAATTATAAGAATAAATCGTCGAATCTGTTTAGGATTATTTTTACCAGAAATTCTCGTTTCTCTTTAATCTTGCAAGTGAGCCGTAAGTAAGTAGTATAGGTCAAGCATTTTCGTTCAAGTTTATGCATTCGCGTGAAATTGAAGAGAATTGAATGAAAAGTTGAAAATAAGGGGCACATGTGCATATGTTCGAGTCGAATACGAACACGATACGATGCGAAATTTGGTTGGGAGTAGGCAAGGCGCAGGTCCTCGGCTGACATCGTCTCGATACGAATTTATGAAATCTTGGCGAACGCCACCAGCGGCAGCGTTGCATGAAATCAGGAATTCTGCTTCATTAACGTTCGCGCTTCGCTGCGCCATCGGCTTTTTGATCTTCGACCAACTTCTTTTTATCCCTTCCTCCCTCTCTCTCTCTCGTGCGACTATCTATCGATCCATCATCTCGCAGCCGGGACAATCGCCTCCCGATATCTCTCCCGCGATCCGTCCGCATAAATAACGAGATCTTAGAACGCTACTTCCCAACAACTTCCTGCAGAATTTTTATAACCGCAAAATCCGAGGTTTCTCTCTCGGTTGGATTAATTTCCCGAGCGGATCCTCCGGAACGGTTCCTTATAAAACCGAACGTAAAATTATATCTCGATAATTTTTTTACCGATATTAAAATTCACCGCCTCTCGGATTTCTATAAAATGGGAGCTGTTTGAGAATCGTCTACGCGATTCTTGAGAAACAAAAATAGCGAAAGGAAGGGAGAATACATTTTGATTAAGAAGAAGAACGCTTGTAAGTTTTGTTATTCGTCGCACGAGGAAAATCAGATCGATACGTGGTGGTGAGGATTCGCAGAGGTTGAGGCCGAGGCGTAAAACATTCAAGTCCACGTTCCTGAACCGAGAAAAAAGAAAATTGTTCCGGGGGGAGGAGGAAAAAAGAACAATCTGCGGCGAAACAAAGGCGGCCTTTTTGCCCCCAAAAACTTTCATCGATCCTTTTTACCATTTTTCCCCTGGCCTGCTCCATATTTTTCCCTCCCTATTTTTCCTCCCTCTCTGCGCACCTCGTTCGCAGCTGCCCTATTCGCAACGAATACAGGCTTCCGCGCCTATCCTTTCCCCTAAAATGATAAAACGCCGCGTGCACGATGCAAATGGACGGACGTCGCGAGATGCGCCTCCGCATCCGACAAGTGGTGGGCTTGCAATTCGAGAGAGGGATAAAGAGGAACGAGAGAGAAGAAATGAGGAAAAAACGAAGAAGCAGCCGCGAAACCATAATCATAAATTAGGTTAAAGTGTTAGGGGAAGGCGCTTAGTTAATTTCACCCTCTTCCCGTCGGGTTGGTACAGTTGGTTCCAGCGGGAGATCCGAATGACTTGAGCTCTTTGCAAAACAACGGGAGAAAAATATGGATAACGAGGATGCTAATAAAAAAGAGAAGATGCGCATCCTGAGCCAAGCTTTACGTCCGTGGTTGATGTCTCGGTGCAGGATGTAGGCCGCCATGAATACAAACACTTCGTTCCAAAGAAATGTACACTTTCGCTCAAAGGTCTTAGGATATATATAATGTATAAAATTGCTTAGAAATTGTAACGTAAAACGGTTTTCATTTCGAAACGCGATGATCAAAATGAAAAAATAATTAGAATTCACAATTTGACGAGGATGCGACGAGGAGAAACTGACTTTACATGTCTAGTCGATATCTCGATTAATAATAAACTCTTCGCCGAAACAATTATTATATACACTTTCTTAAAACTCAAACGTTTCAAAAAAATTTTAAATGTCTATTAATAGAAATTGGAAGTTATTTAGAAATTAAACGATTTTATCGATAATTAAGTTTCGAGATATTAAGTTAGAATTCGTAATTCTAATTTAAAGTGATTCCGATTGGATTTACGTTTATTTGTGTCGTAGGTTTCTTGAGGCCCGGGATCAGGGACGACACGGCGAGCAATTTCGGTCTTCTGGATCAAATTGCGGCGCTGCTTTGGCTACGAGAGAACATCGCCGAGTTCGGCGGCGATCCGAACAGTATTACCCTGGTCGGCCACGGTACCGGTGCAATTTTTGCTAACCTGCTGCTTATCAGCCCTGTGGCTAATAAGAAAGGTAACGGTTATTGCCGCGTCGCGTGTTTGCGACTTTTGCGAATATTAAGAGAACACTTTCGTGGTGGAGAACACGTAACTTCCATTTTCGTGAAATCGATAAGAGCCCCGTGTTTAAACTTCGATTTTAGAAGCTCGAAGTTTAAGCATCGCTTTTACTCGAGTCGATAGAGTTCGAGATAAATTCGAGACAAAATTTATTTAAACGCGATTTTACTCGAATGTAATTTTCTCGAGATAAAACAACGTTTATAAACAACTCGTACAATCACTAATTTGGTTAATTTTACAAATG